GGAGATGGTGCTAACAACAGGATTTCCCAATAGTATTGATAACACTTTCTCCTCAAACTTATTGACAATTTTCTTAATAGTTGGATATGATGTTTTATCAGGATGCTCTCGTCTACATTCTCTCTTCACAGTAGCATGTGAAGGCATTTCAATTAATTTGTGCTTGATGAATATCCCTTACTCTGTTTTTTTTCTCGATAAAAAAAAAACTCCATGAAGTCCAACAATTGAGGAGATCGTTGATAAGTTTGAAGAGAAAGCATTATGAATACGATAGGGGACATCTCATGGTCAGCTGCATCTCCCAATCTAAGACTGCCAGTTTTTTTTTAAATGGGATTTCCTTCAAGAAAAGATGTCCTCAACAAATCCACGCACCATTGATGAACTCAAATGTTCTGTGGCTACAGTGCTTAGAGGCATAATGCAAGAAACTCCTGAACAAGGCAGTTTAAAACACTGCTGTATATTACAGACAGATTAACCAAAAGAATGGTGAATACTTGGAGCATGTCTTTCAATGTTGAAAAAAACTCATTGAGTTTGCCGGTCATGTGACACGTAATTCCATTTTCTATGGTATTAAATAATGAAAATACAGGTTAAGGAAATATGAAACATTTTTGTGTGCCCCCTGTATAATCACTCTTATTTTTCAACTGTCTCCGCATAGCTGCTCACATTTTTCTTCACATCTTAGCATGCTCTGAGCATAAAAGGAAGGCAGGTGCATAGTATTTCTTTGGGGTGAGATGCAGGAACTGCAGAACATTCTCATGCACTTCATAACCAGTACTGAACTTCTTTTCCCCAAGGAATCCCCTCAACCAGTTGGAGGTGCTGCAGGTGGGTCATGACAAGTATTTGTAAATTAAAAAATAACAAATTGCAATTTGACATATGATCATTTTATATCATTTAAGTCTGTAATGTAATGGGCCTTGGATGACTTTGCTATTGTTAAGGTGGGCCATGGGATTGGAAAGATTGAAAACCACTGCCTTAAGCAGTCCAAAGAATTAAAATCACTTGGGTCTGGGTCCAGATTGAATGGGGGATAGGGTAACAGTTCTCATCCTATTTCACCAATGATGTACTGCATTTCTTGCCCTATATAAGGACACACATTTTGCTACTGAAGTATCATGCCTTGGTTGAGCAAACTGAGTCTTTCCTAGCAAATTCTTTGCTGCATGTGATCCTTCAGTAATATTGAGCAGTTGTCTGGCTAAATTTTCTTTCCACGTTTAAACAGTCAACACGTTTATACGTGTTGACTGTGTTGACACCAAACTTGTCCCAAAAATGCATGCCATGACTTGCCAGCAACTGATTGAGTCCTGAACTTCTTAGGCATGGGAGAAACCTGTGTACTTCTACTGTTTGTGTCAACTTGCTTTCTGGTGTCATGGTGTGCCTGGGTTTCATCACAGGTTGCTATTCACTCCAGAAAGTTATCACCCTCTTCCTAATATCAATCAAGATGACATTGGCTGACTCCCATGCAATAAATATTCAGTTTGAAGTTCAACTCCATTGGCACCCATTAAGTGGAGACTTAGCTGAGTTTGAGGTGCTCATGGAAGATGGTTTTTACTAACTGATTGTTGATGCCCATTAAAGCAGCAAATTCACATGTAGTGACATGTCTGTTGGCAAGAATGCAGTCCTCAACATTCCTTGCCCTTCCTGGGAGCATGACTCCCATTCCACTCACCCATGGCTCCCTACCCTCATATTCTTTCTGCATATGCTGATGATATCACAATTTTCATATCTTCTGAATCTGGTTTCAAATCATTCCGTGATTGTTTTGATATATATGCTAAATCTTCTTTACGAAGGAATTTACAACAAAAAACCTCAGGACTCTGGTGTGGATCTTGGCAAACTAGAGATGATTCCCCTTGTGGTTTCCAATGGAAGAAAACGGGTCTGAAATGTCTATGTGTATATCTTGGAAACACAGACTTTGAAAAAAAGAATTGGGAGGAAGCAGAACACAAAATCAATTCTTTAACTGCAAAATGGACTCCTCGTTTCCCCAAGATGTCCTATCGTGGACGTGTTGTTATAATCATATGATAGCTCCAAAACTCTCGTATACCCTTGCATGTATCGAACCTCCACCTGGATTCCTCTTAAGACTTGAAATTTTTTTTAGAAACTCTGGCTAGGGAAGCATTGGCTTCATCCGGTATATCTTCACCGCAAGCTTCTCCTTGGCGAACAAAATCTTGTCTCCCTTGAAGCTAGGAGACTTTCTTTCTGCCTTTCTTTTCTAAAACGAGTTCTCACCATGACAAGCAGACATGCGTCATATGACACCTTTCTTTTTTTTTCTTTTTGCTCAACTTGCGACTTCCCTCTCAGAAGTCTAGGGGTCCTAATGAGTTGAATCCAGCGTTTCATTGCCAGAAATATGAATCAAAGCATGTATGTATCAAAGCATGACAAAATGTTGAGATGTAGTAAGCAATGAAGATGTATCACATTCGGTAAATCCATCACTGAGCGAAACTACCTCTAACGCACCTAAAGAAGTAAATTCTACTGTTTTTCGGCCAGAAATACGAATTATATCTATGCATACCGACAGAATGGTGAGATCTAAAATACATCCATCACTTGGAGCGAAACTACCACTTACGCAACTAAAGAGGTGCTGCTTTTTAAAGCCAGGAACACAAATCATTGCATGAATACCGACAGAATCCCTGGCAGCACATAACATTGAAACAACATTGATTCAACATCCGGATGTTGATTCAATGTTATGTGCTACTGGGGATGTAAAGATCTGATTAACAATAAAGATGCATTAGAACCGATACCTGCATCACTTTTTGTAAGACTACCACAAACACATACAAAGAGGTGATTTCTGCATTTAATAGGCAGAAACACAAATCAGTATGAATATCAAAAGAACGTTGACTTGTAGTAAACAAACAAGATGCTTCACACCCGGTACGTGCACCATAATAGGCGAAACGCACCTAATGAGGTGAATCCTGCTTTTAAAGTAAAAAATACGAATCATAGCGTGCATAACGACAGAATGTAGAGATCTGATCAAACAAGATGCTTCACACCCGGTACGTGCACCATAATAGGCGAAACGCACCTAATGAGGTGAATCCTGCTTTTAAAGTAAAAAATACGAATCATAGCATGCATAACGACAGAATGTAGAGATCTGATTGACTTCGCAGATGCATCACACTTGGTACATGCATCACTTTTGATGAAGATGCATTACGCACGATATATGCATCACTTTGAGCGAAACTACCTCTAACGCACCTAAATAAGTTTTTCAGGAATACGAATCATACCCTGCATATCGACAGAATGTTGAGATGTAGGAAGAAGGTGCATTACGCTTGGTACATGCACCACTTCGAGCGAAAATACCATTAACCCACCTAATGAGGTGAATCCTGCTTTTTAAAGCCATTATCAGTACGCGTCTCTAGTACTTTTGGAACAGTACTTGATACTTTCTCCACAAACGACGCCTGGGAAGGAATTTGACTTTCTGGATATATTTGACCAATGTGGCAACCCAACCAAACAGGACCCTGAATAATTCTGAGCAGGGGGATGGACACAAGAAAGTATGCGAGGTCATATCACTCCATGAGACCACGGCCCCGTGTTTTCGAGGATGAATCCAAATCATGATCACTGCCGAAGGGTGCGTGGAGTGAGGGTAGCCTCTTATTAAATCGCGTCGTTGTCCTGCTTCCTGAGGAACAGGATGCCTCTTTCTCATCTCGGCAATAGGTTCACATTGTCCTTGGATGGGGGGATCTTAAAAAAGCGGATTCGGAGGATGGAGATCGTGTCAAGATGCTTCAGCCATGAAACGGCGCATACGCACGAATTAAACAGATTGTTGAGACCTGTCATATCAACGTTGAATCATCGTGGATTCAATATTTCTTCAATGTTGAAGAAAATGAATTTTCAATATGGAGTCAACGTTGATAAGCAAATGTTGAAGCAACGTTGCAATGTTGGTTTTGAACAATGAATCAATGTTGATATACCGTTGATGTCAACGTTGAATCAATTGTTGATGAAAATGAACTTTCAATATAGAATCAATGTTGACAGATAACGTAGTTTAAACATTAGCTGCGTTGACGAAATGACGTTGATTCAACGTGATTGTGCTACTTGGGATGACGTCGATTATCGCAGTGAGTGATGCATAGGAATTTTCCTGATGTCGCTGGCCAACTTGATTGTCGGTGGCGTTGGCGGAATTCACGAGCATATTTTAAAATGTTGGGTTTCCATTCTTCGATAGGACATCGCAGCCCCATGATATCGGTTATGGTAGTGTGTGATGCATAGAAATTTTGAACGTGTCGTTTGCCGACTTGGTCGCCGGTGGCGTTGGCATTATTCACTTGGATATTTAAAAATTCTGGGTTTCCTCACTTGGATTCGACATTGCAGCTCTGTGACATCTGTTATGGCAGTGAAAGATGCATTGAAATTTTTCTTGTGTCGCTGGCCGACTTGGTTGCCATTGGCTATGACGGAATTCACGTGGGATTTGAAATGGACTTTAATTCGTCTAGAAAATAAAATTCATCATGCATACGTACAAGTACAGAAAATGGAGGTACGCTGCTTCAACATTTAGTACATATAGTAAGAGAAGAAATATTCCAGTCAACAAAATTTTCACAATAAGAAATTGGATTGGATTGGGAATGACTAAAAGCAGTTTTTGTTCAAATTCGTTTAATCACATTCTTGAGATTTTTCTATAGAAATTTTTGGCATGGATGGTGGAATTGGGCCCCCGCCTCCAGGATCCAAGAGCCAAGAGGAGGTTCCAACCCTCCTGGAGGCGGGGACCCAATCCCAGGCTCCCAGTCCCAATCCTATGCAGGTTTTAAAGTTTATTGCCCCCCTCTTGTGATTGAAATCATTTCCGTTGTTCATGAAGTGCTTCTCATTTATTATTATTATTTAAATATTCACGTATTATTATGATTATCAAAGTCCATTTCAAATCCCAGAATCAGTGCCAAAGAATACTTCCTGATGATATCATCTTTTAAGAAAATGATGCATTGCATATAGATCGGTTTCTCACCAGGCCCATTACTGATCAGAGGGTGCAAATTTTTTATTATATTATTTTTCTTTTTCTTTTCTCTATATCCTGAACGTGTCAGAGATTCGAACAAGTGTGTCTCGTTTTCAATGTCTGCATGATGGCATTTTTGACAGGGCGTGCTTGTTGATGCTATGTGATATGACATATTAAAGTCCTTTTGAAATCCCATTGAAGCACATGTGACTGGGACTGAGTTTCATCTCCAAACATGCTGAGAGTTGTTTTTATTTTAATCAACAGTGAATATCAGCACTGGTGGTGCCCTCTGGTGCAAGGAATTTGATAACACTCTGCTCTTCTTGGGAAAGGCCTGCCTTACCAGATGCCATCATGAATAATGGCTGATGTAATGAGCATGGGAGTTGCCAATTTAGTCACTATAAGTCAGCACTGTACAAACTGATATTGTGCAGGCCTCTCACACTTTTACAAGTCAGAGCAAAAAATTGTCTCCTGGAATGCATTATGCACTCCCTGTAATTAAATATTTTGATGCCTCATAATAGTATACAGGGTGTTCGTATCTAAACGCAACATAGGGATGTTTTTGCCGCCTGTTTGGGGCGTCCAAGGCGTGCCTTATAGCTCACCGGGTTGCATATCTGGAAGGATGAAACCTATCCCTGGTGTGTAGTATCCTTGCAAATATGCAACCCAGTGGGCCTCATAGCGTTCGCCTACCTCCACCTACAAGCGGCAGAATATTCCCTATGTTGTGTTTAAATACGAACACCCTGTATATAGGGTGGTTCAAAAAAATGCTCTACCATTTTCTATGGGAGAAACAGAATCATAAATGCTGCAAAAAAAATATTAAATTCAATACGCGATCTGTATTTGACAGTTACAAGGTGTTGAAATGCTTTCTAGCTTTTTTTTCAGCACCCTTGCCTAAGACGTGCAATGCCCATGTAGAGGTAAATTAATGGTGCTTAGAAGTGGATCATTCCATCTCAAGTGAGGTGATGTGCTCGACCGTCTCAGAATTCAATGTAATTTTCAACTTAAACTATTCAAGGGACTGCTGGATCCAGCTGATACTTGACAGAGAGATTCATGAGTCTAAAATGTTTGTTTGTTTTTTTCACTTCCGCAAGATGACGCTGTATCCCAGTAGAGGGCGTTGCTGTTGACTGGGACAACATAGGCACCGTGGGAAGCGAACTAGTTCCATTCAAAAGCATCCTTATAAAGGATTTATAGACTGGAAAGCCTGGTATAAATATTGGAAAGATTGCTTCTTAACAACTGCCAATGTGGTTGGCAAGGAAAAAATGATCTAAACTTCATGAATAGATGTAAACTAAAGCAATTGGCTAGCTTTGTATTCGTAACTAGCACTTCTGTGTCGCACCTGGAACATCTAGTGTTGGACTTCTATAGCGTCAAACTTGGCTTATCTCACAACGAAGATCTTAGACTAGACAATTCTAACAACAAAAGTTTCTTCATTTTTCCTTTTTCCAATAAGGCTGTTGAACTTTTTAATCTTAAAACAGTTCTCAGGGCCTCTGAACTAAAGGAGGAATTTCCTCTTAAATCAACATACCCCTCCATTTCTTACAAACTCTCTAAGCCTTTGAAAGTAATTGTTTGCAACTATAGGAAGTTTGTCGAAACCTTAGACCTAGACAAAATTGAAGATCTTCCCTGTCATTGTGAACTTCCTGAATTCAAATCCTAAGTGAACACCATCAGCATATCTGGGAATCTTCATATTCTTCAGAATAAAAGGCTTTTTCACATCTTCAAAATGGGAGGTTAATATCATTTTAACCATAAAATGAATATAGAGACGTTTCTAGATGATGTTACGTCAGCAGTTCAGAGGTATGTGTCTGGAATTTCCTTCAGAACTTCATACCCTTCTGCTGCCTTCATTCCATGGAGGAATAAGCTTCTTAAGTCTCTTTCAGAATGCATCAAGTCATTTAATATCGTTTATAAGAAAGTCTCTTTGGACCTTCCCCTTAGAGAATTCAAGACTCTTCTTAGAAAGGTTCAGGACAGGTTTGTCATTGTGGCCATTGACAAAACCTCGAACAATTTTGCCTTCATTTGCAAACGGTTTTATGGCAGAATCCTGAAAGAGGAAATTGTAAACAGTCCTACATTTGAAGCAACCTCTTTAACTATACCAGTTACAGTAAACGAAGTCATCAATGCTTGCTCAGAATTTGATATTCCCTTTGACTCAGAATGTTCTAGTCCCATTTTTGCTTGCAAACCCTAAATTCCATAAAACACCTACTCAATTCAGATTCAAAACCAGCTCAGTCCATACCTGCGTCCAGAATATGTCGCTTGCCATCAATAAGTTCTAGAATACTCTCTTAAAAGAAGTCCATCATGGCTGTAAATCCTCACACAAGTCCTGCATTATTGCCAACAACAAAGCTGTGCTTAATGCTATAAACAAAATCAATATAGCTGAAGAAGCGCAGACAACACATTCTTGGGACTTTACCACCCTCTACACGAAAATCCCCTTGGTCCTTCTGCACAAAACGCTGGTAGATCTGTTTCGAGAATTTCTGCCTATGGGCTGTAGTTACAAAGAATACTACATTGGTGTGGAATTTTTTTTTTTTTTCAAATATCCTTAGAGCAAGTCTACAGAGTAATTTTATTCTCATGGGTAATAAGGTGTTTCAGCAAGTCATCGGAATCCCCATGGGGAGTAGTTACTCAACTAATATGGCCAATCTTTTTCTTTTCTTTTATGAGCGTAACTTCCTAAAAAAAAACACCTCTTTTCCACAGGCATGTACCTCCACCTTTAGGTATATTGATGATCTCTTGGCACTTAATAACAACTCTATTGAGAGTGATATCACTTCTATTTATCCAGATTGCATGGAGGTGCAGGAAACTACCTCACCCCCATTCATATCCACTCATTACTTGGATCTCAACCTTAATATAGGTTTTCCCGACGAATTTCGGCAAAAGTCCATTCAAATTTGGCAGCGGCCATTTCAATTTTGGCAGGTAACTTTCGATTTCTGCATTTGCCATTTCAATTTCGGCAGCGCAAGGGAATATCTCGTCTCTGGTAGTTAAAATGGGAATGAGGAATAAGGAAAGGGCATAAACGCATAGGGTATTTTTGGCGAATGACCATTATTTTATTATGCAAAGGAAAACACATGGACATCGACATTGATTCTATCTATCGATATGTTCTCTTCTTTTGGCATCTAATCAAGTATGTTAGTGTATGTCAAAACCACGCAAAGCACTTCTATTTTCTTTTATTTGCCCAACTGATGTCTCTCCTATTTCGAGCAGTTTCTCTGTCCAACTTTGCTGCACGTTTTGTTCTGGTCTTCGTCGTCCAAGTTCTACCAGTGTTTCAGGAAAATACACCTCACGTTTGACAGCTGGCTTAAATGCAGAGTGGGCATGTTTCAAGAAAGGAAAATATGTTGGCAGAAACTTCACGCGAACGTAAGGAAAGTCATCTGGAACTCGTTTGTGGGGTCTAGCATTATCCATGATGACATAAACTGGTTGATCTGGTAGCAAAATCATGTATACATGTCTCAGGAGCTTCTCAAAGCACTCCTGGAATGACAACAATGTGACGCGTTCCTGTTGTTCCTTCGCAGTATAAGATTATTCCAACCATGGAAACGAACATGAACCTATGTGGATGACACAGAAAGGAGCAGCCGATTTCGAATATTCCAGTTTTTAATCTTAGACAATGCTAGACCCCACGAACGAGCCTCGATCCCAGATGACTTTCTTAATGTTCACTGGAAGTTTCTGCCGGCATGTTTGCCTTTCGTGAATCTGACAGAACATGCCCAAATCACCCATCAGAAATGTTTTGCGTGGTATCGCCATGCATAAATATACTTGATCAGATGTCTAAGGAGAGAACTTATCGATGGGAAGAATCAGTGTCAATGTCCATGTGTTTTCCTTTGCATAATAAAATAATGGTCAATCGCCAAAAATACCCTATGTGTTTGTGCCCTTTCCTTCCTTATTCCTCATTCCCATTTTAACTACCAGAGACGAGATATTCCCTTGCGCTGCCGAAATCGAAAGTTACCTACCAAAATTGAAATGGCCGCTGCCGAATTTGAATGGACTTTTGCTGAAATTCGTTGGGAAAACCTATATTACAGATTCTAAGTTCTCCATTAAAATTTATGACAAAAGAAGAGATTTTTCCTTCAAAATTTCCAACATGCCAATGCATAGGTCTAATATCCCTAAGCATATTATCAATAATGTCATCAAATCACAATTAAATAGATACTTGCAGATCTGCAGTCACAAGGACGACTTCGTGTTCAAGTTTTTTTTCATGATAAATAGATAAATAATGGATATGCAGATTGGTTTTTGAAGAAACAATTTGGCCTCTTAAAAAAAACACACCATCTCATTATTTTGCAGAAATTTGGTGTTTTGCTAAGGAACCTTTCGTTTTCCGCTAGTCGGATGGCCTGCTTCCACTCTGTGGGATTGGGGCTAGCCTCAGATTCATGGGCCTGGGTTAGCCCCTGGCCTAGGACAGATTCCAGGGAGTGGGCATAGGCCATTCGCCTTTCTTAGTCGACTGGCCTCTCCTCTTCCACTGCATTCTCCTTCCCCTTATTATTTTTTCTGTCGGTCAGGGGACAATTAAAACAGTTAGTTTTGGTCTACGTACACAGGCTCGGATTGCAACACATGATTCAATTCACCCAGTGAATTCTCCCAGTTATTGTGGAATTTTCCTTTTCTCCACTCGTTTCTTATCGAGCCATGAATAGTGGATGGATCTTTCAGGCACGGATCCCACTAGAGCTTAATTTCTTCATAGCTGTTGGTTAGAGGTTAGGAGGAACTGTCAGTTAGATGCTCTCCTGAGCATCATTAATTCCTTTTTCACAGGACACTTTGCAATGGTTGCCTTCTTGTAGCATGAGCGTAAGCTTTCTCTATAGTCTGGAAACATAGGAACTAATATTTTTAATGTTTTCAGTTATCATAAATAACCAATATGCTGTCCATGCAATTGCAAGCAGGTTTTTAGGCGATATTTCCATTTTGTTAAGAACATTGTTTCTAATCAATAGGGGTCACTCACCTATAAGAAAATATTTTTAATATATTGAGCCCTATGTTTCCAGGCTTTTTTAGGACACCCTGCTGGGGTGGAAAGGTAAAAAAAAAGCACTTTTGGGAAATGGATCCCTTCCTTACAACTCGAATTAAAAGAAAAATCACTCCTTTAGTAAACTGGTTCTTCATTATGACAGGATCTCACTGATCCCCACAGAATCAATACTACATGTCAGTGCATTTCAACTGCAGTGTTTGTGCTTGCTGTTCATGATTAGAATAGTGCTGTGTATGAATCCCTTCAGTAAATATCATAATATAACTTTCCCATTATAAATCAATTTAAAACTCGAGTTTTCATGAAACTGGATGCTGGAGAAAGGTAGTGGTGTCTGAGCAGACGCAGACAGTAGGTTCCTCTATTGCCCAGCAATCCTGGCCCCAGGGATCATTTGGCACCTCAGAATGACCCACCATAGCCTTTAAAGATGAGCACAGGTGTGGTTGAAGCCCATCATACTTATTTGTCATGCTAGCCAAAGATGAAAGCAGGCAAAAGGGAAGCAGCATGATCCAAATACTTATCTTCCCATTGTACACCTAGACTGTCAATAGTACCACCTTAGGGCATATTTATGAAATTTCAGCAGACATGAACCAAGAATCAAACAGCAAGCATGGTGGTTTCACTACACCAGAAATCCTGGTGTATTCAAGTGCATAGTGCTTTCACTGAATATTAGCTGATGCAGAACTCACCCTTCAGAGGGCAGATTTAAACGCATTTAACAGCTTGCATGAAGCCTACTGGCATGAGATCTTCTTCATAGATGGTTGTTGTCTGTATGAGTACCTTGTGGAAGTTTTCTCACAGACAGTGTTGTCTTCAAGAATGATTTTCCTTGCATGTGACCCCCATGAGACTGGACTACCATGCATGATCTTGCCAACAGCAACATGGAAGAATTTTTCAAAAAGTATCATGGACTGCATGATGCCTCTGACTGGAGCTCCTAGCTCATCATATAGCCCTTTTCATCAATATGAGAGCAACTGGGGGGCAATGAGAGCTAAAGTAGGATGCCCAGTCTTCATCTTACACAAGTCAAGGATGCACGACACAAGCACTTGTTTTAGAGCTAATATGTGCTATCTGATGGAATGTGGACACATTGCACAGCCAACATCCGGATGTTGGCTGTATCTACACTTCTTCCCAATTCTGCCATATACCTATGCACCTGGGAGCAGGTGGACAATTAACTTTTAGTCAATAGACAGTAAGAACAGGAATCTGTGCCCTATGAAATAAAATTAAAAGCAAATGAAATTACTGTCTGGTTAACCAATTTGCCAATGCATGGAAGGGCCTTTAGTTGCTTTCTATTGATTTGACACTGGTAAACATCCCATTCTTTTCAGGAATGGGAAGGGTACACAGGGTATGCAATTTAACATGTCAAGAGGATATCCTCACAGAAATACTTTGGCTGTTGTTTTGTTGCTGAATTCAGTTCTCAACAGGAACTTAGCCAATTGGTCAGTTCCCAGTGGCACCTCACATAGCCAATTGAGCACTTTTTTTACACAGACATTGTAATGGTGAGTGTTGCATATTATCCTCTTTTAATTTCATGTATGAGGATTCACCCCCTTAGGAATAATAAGATGAGCAACATTTGTGCAATGGGAACTGATTCAGGTATTAACTAAAGAAATCAATGGGATTCTCAAAGGTCATCATCATCAGCAAAAAGAAGGAACTGTACCTTATTGCTTATGAGATTTGCAGTGTGCAGCTAAGTACAAGTCACTCCTGGTCCTGACAGTGTGCATCCTCCACAAGGTCCAGGAATGTCATCTTGTGATAGAGGAAATCAGCATGTTCCCTCTGGGATGAGGCCAAAGGGCAAATCAAGCCTGGTCCCATGTCCTGCCCAAGGGGGGGGGGGGGGGGTGGAAACTCAAAAAGTTCCCAGATTCTCAAATATCTGAAGGTGAGTCGAAGGAAGAAGACACTCTTGCCCTCGTGATGCCGATGCCTCGACCTGGGACCTCTGCAAATAAACATACTAGGTCAACTGATACTTGAAACACTGTCCCACCTAAGTTCTTCCCAAGAATTTAATCATTTATGGCATGAAAAGAAATATAGATTGAGGACTGCACTTGTATATGGATGCCAATGGAAAAAGTGACTCTTGAATAACGATTTCCAGATAGGATCAATAAACTAGTAGAGCAATGGAATGAGCTCATATAGGTTAGTGAAAAACTGCAAATATTAGCTATGAAAGTCAAATATATTTCCCCCTTCAACCTTCCACGACACATGGACCAGGCCTGACACAGTTCACCCGTTAGTGGTGAACTCTTCCATCAAAATGTACCATTCTTGGACCTTGTGACAGTACTTTGCTACCTGAACTTGTAATGACTTACCCTACCTATTTTTGCAGTCTAATTTACATGAATGCCTCAAGGTAGTTGCCCTTTTCTGATGGTCACAGGTGACCTTGAAGGAGGGCATCAATTTCTTTACTTATTGTCTTAATATAAACACCAGTTCATATGGAATTTATTTAAGGATCTTTTTAATAGTAAGGATTCCTTTTCAGCTCATCATTAAAACTCTGATTAAGGAACCTCAGAGCTTAACCTACCCAAAGGACCGAATGGTGGGTTGCCATAAAAAATTAGGCGAGAATCGCATCACAAATGCCGTTTTCAGGGGAATAACCTTTTTGCAGGGTTGCCAGATAGGGCCATTTGATTCCCAGGAGCCTGCATCAAGGCTAGGAGGCCTATCCCATGCTGGTGCTATAGGAACGAAGCAGGTACCATCCTGCTGCCACTAGTGTTTCTACTGCATTTATTGTCCTGGGGTGCCCCCTTGGCAGATCCTCTTCTTCAAAATGCCAATTTTTGCAGCATGAATGGGAAAAAGCAGCCCTCCTGCAGCACCTCCTTGCATTGAGGATTGGCCCCTGAATTTGATCTCACCTCATGAAACCAGCATATTGTGACAGAGAGTGGCTGAGGAAGAGAGTGATGAACTTCTCCCACTGCCCCATCAACAACATTCTTTAAACGGCTTACAGTTTCGTGGATGTTCAAATCAATGTCCCTTTTGGTCCTTATCTATACAAATGTTGCTTCTGGAGGAGATAAGCACCTGATGATGGGGATGAGTGTCTGCTCCTCTATCCAGCATGATCAATAGTGTTTTTGACACATCAAGGCATCATACCACCTATAACAACACAGGCCTATAATCTGGTACTAATAATTTTGGTGAGCCAGAGCATTGCTCGACTTATCCAACATCAACTCTGTGCAGTCCACCACCTGCAATGGAAAAGGAAAAAGGCCTCTGGAATTTTCATCATAAGTGAAACTTCCCAATAGGGTCTCACCCTCCAGAAGCAGCTCTCTTCGATCTCAAGTATCTGTCGGTGGAAAGTGGACTGGTGATGCAAATGGACTGGTGAGAACCTCTCCATGTGGCACCACACCAATGAGAGTTTCCTTGCCTGAAGGAGAGGAATAGATTTAGTGCCTTTTAGTCAATTGCTTGACAATAAAACAAGGAAAGAGAGAACACTCAGTCACGATTGCCTTTGCAGTTCAAGAATGAAAACTCTCTTTTCCAAACCAATTGACCATTCCAGGAACTTCTGCAGCATTTTTGCCTCCTCTAGAGAAGCAATTCCAGCCTTTTTCACATAAGGACATCAAAATCACTTATAAAAACATTCCAGTCAACATTGTAGGTCATTACTAAGGTGCATGTGGGACATCAACTCACTTCCAGATGCATGGATAAATGGTGGTAATTAATACAGTGCTTTTCATGTGATTCGGACAGTCATGCAAGAGAAGTTCCTCATCCATAAATAAATGTGAATGCTGAATTGGTTCAGCCCTCATTATATTATGGCTTAGGCATTGAAGGTAGGGAACATGGGGTGCGGTCATGAGAAATGGACAGGGTACTTTACATCGCAAAATGCCATCAAGCTGAAAACACGAGCCTGGAGATTCTAGGAAACTTAATGCAGAGAACAAGGAATGCCTGAAACCTTCAGAAAAGTCTCTTGAGGGATAAAATAAAAATCTGACCATGAGAGGTTCTTCTTGCTCTAAACTGGGGTGAGTTATTCCCTCCAGTTCCATAAATTTCATGATTTACATTACCACTCATCACAAACTTGGAAGACAACTTTGGAATGAAATTAAAAACAATATCAAACAGAATTGTAACACAAACTCATGCATGAGCAAATGCAACATGAGGAATGAAAGTGAGAAGCTGATATGCAACTGGGGATACAAGTGCATGCAGTCATGGGCTGCATAATAATTCCATGAGCTAACATAGGCAGACTATGAACCTATACCTAAACTTTAGACCTCATATGAAGTTATTCTCATGGGGAAGATGTTTATTTCGTTTGGAACAACCATAGTGAACATTATCATCTGCAGAAAAATGATGAGACTGAAGTTAAAAGTTTAAAAAATATTTATGGCATCTTGCTACAATAGGCAAATAGTCTAGGCCCATGAATTGAAGTTTCTAACAAAAACTTGGAGGTTCAAAGGTGGGGGGGGGGGGAAACCCCATTCACCATCATTGGCAAAAAGGGTATAAAATGACGTATGGAGTGACCACATGACCCATCCAAGCCAACTTGCAATCACCTTTCTTTTCAATCTTTCAGGGTGACAAGATAATGGTCTCCATAATACTTCAAGGAACAAGAGTGTTTAAAATATTTCTTTTAAAAAAAGTAAGAAGGGGCAGGAAAAGAAACTGCATTTCTCGAGACTTTCTAGTTGAAACTGCTGCTAAGCAACGGTATCTCTAAAAATTGAAAGAAATGCAAAAGTAAAAGGGCCGAGAAATACCGTCAGGTAGTCTAGGCCTAAGTTATGATGAGGCCTCCATACCTTCGGGCCTGTCACAAATGAAACCTTTGATACATTTGCTAGGTTTGACATACCAACACGTTTACTGCTAAATATTTAAAAATTTAGTTAGAATGGACACTTCGGTGGAAAACCCGTCAAAAAGGCTTTCAGGCATGGGTCATTTTAGCTGAACGGCTGATTCGGGCGAGCATGTCGTCAACTCGCGGTGCTACCCACGTGGCGCGCGCTAGGCTGAAGCTGGCACCAACACGCGGACACAAATAGAGTCCTGCACAGTCAGTTACTCCGACACGGCACTTGCAACACAAGCGACTCCTTCCTTACTTTCAAGGCAGTGCATCATGACCGTATTCGAACAAATACACAGTTTTAAACCATTTCAAGGCCGATGAAAATTTCCGAATCACTTCCTCTAATGATTCACTAGACATAAGTGGAATGACAGAATGGAACTCTCCTGCATCGCTGCGCGAGAAATTTTTAAAAATTTTCAATAATAGAAAATATGGGGCTTTCGTGGACACGCAGATTCCCGAGCAAATACCCTCCATGAAACCATTTCAAGGTCGATGAAAATTTCCAAATCACTTCCTCTAATGATTCACTAGACATAAGTGAAATGACAGGAAATTTTTGTGTGAGAAAGAGAGGATATTGAAGCCGCCTTCTAGGAAAGAATTTTCCGACATCTTTCCTTAGGTCCTTCATAACGTGCCGCAAGCAAGCGTGGATGTTTGTTAAAAGGAGTTCCTTCTCCTCTGCCTGTCCGTTCACTATTCGCCACCATCGCCTAATATACCCTCGAAGAGACTCATTATTAAAAACTTTCAACGCTGAAATCAAGAATACCA